ATTATCTGTCTCATTCATAGTTCCTTCTGTGAAACTTATCTGCCTGCAGCCCCTGGAAGACACATCTACTTTTCCTTCTCCATCCAGGTCCGATTGGATCAGGCTTTGGCATCACCAGGGCAAAGTACTCAGCCCCTCTAAATTTTATATGTGGTGAAAGTACCTACTTAAAGCACGGTTTGGAACATAAAATTAGAAAATTTTAATACAATGCATGGTACACACGGAATACTTAGTATATATTAGACAGCATTATTACAGCCACATTTAATTGAATGTTGATAGTTCAGATATTCATATACTCCCAATAGAACATTAGTATATGAAGAAATGCTAATACACTGTTCACAAACTGGTATCTTGTTTGTTTGCCTTGTTTATAGAGATATAAACACTTTTTTAGAGTTTTGCTTGAAGTTGTTAAGAGGATGTTAAAATTGAATATTTCTACTTTTTGTTTTGGCCAGGCTTCCAAAGTCCAAGCACAAAACATTAAGATTTCAATGCTCACATTCCAGTACAAGATTCTAAACTATTTAGATAGGATATGTTGGAAAAAAGAAACTTGTCTTCAGCTCACAACTTATCAAATGCATCTCATGCAATAGAACAGTTACAGGAGAAAAAGGAGGATTAAGTATAAGCTACAGTGTCTCTTTCCAGTCTCATCCTTTATAATTTGGGCATTAGGGGTCAGAAGCTGGTAAAATTGATCAAGAAGAGATCATGTGGGCATTCTGACATGGGTCAAATTATTTCAGGGACAAAGTTTAGTTCTACTTTTATAGATGATGTGATGCTCTTCTAGCACTGTGAGGACTGGGAACTCTGACAGCACCTTCACCCAGTGAGTGTCCTTGGTATAAACATCGACATTCCCATAACAGGTCATGGCATAGTTGAGGCTTCTTCAGATAATTTTAGAGACAGAAATGGAAGCAAGAGTACAAGAATCAGAGAACAGCATACACTGAGGGAACTAGCAGGGGGAGACTGCCTTTTGAAAAATACATGGAGTACCTCTAGGGTATACTGTCTGGTGTGACTCGACATTATGAGGAGTGGCTGGGAGAGTAGTGATATCCTGCTAATACCTGGTAGGAAGCTACTGAGTCAGCAGGTATTTGAGTTAAGTATTGTTGTTATTGTTATTGATACTTTAAAGAGTATTTGATTTCTATCAGTTATTGAAGGTAACAGCTACATGAGTAGGTTTGTTGTTGTTTTATTTGTTTTCTGAATGTGAAACTGCTGAGAAGCAGCATTACCTGGGTGCCTCATTTTTTTCAATTGTTGAATATGTGAATATGTGGGACTCACATTCACGAAATTATCAGCCAGTGAATATATTTGATAGGGAGCAAATGAGATTTTTAATTGCCTTACAGAACCAATCCAATAGAGTTTTAGAACAAGCTGACAGGAATTTAAAAGTGCACTTCAAAATAAGATGTTATTGTGCATAAAAATATAATACTTATTAGTCTCACCAACTATGTATGTGGATATGACACCCTATCACTTTCTGAGAAAAGTACATCATGCTAGAAAATATTTTCCAAGTCATCCACCAAATAATTCACGGACAGGTGAGTGCTGCCATTTTTGGGAAAACCCAGTGCTTCTGGTTATTAACTTCTGGCCATTCATTACAATTGTGGTCCTCAAACTTTACCATGCATCAAAATCATCTGGAGGGATTATTAAAACCCAGACTGCTGTATCCCAACCCCAAAGTATCTGATTCCATAAGTCTTGGTAATAATTTGCATTTCTAACAAGTTCCCAGGTGAAGCTACTACTACTGCTGAGGGGGACTTTGAAAACTTTTGCCCTAGAATAAATTTCAGCTAGAATTCTATGAGCTGCTGAAGGGACCAAGTTGAGCAGATCATGAAGATCTATTGAACATTTTAGAGGATCACTGGAATCATCTAAATGGCCCTATCTTCAAACACCATGGTTGGGGATCTTCAGGTATATCCTATAGAAGGCATCATTGATTTAATAAAACCAAAACAATTATGTCAGCTCATGGGAACCATCACTTGGAATTTTCCCATCTCTACCAAGAACTTCGGTATTTATTGCCTTTGCATGTGCATCTGAGATGTCAACTTTGCTGGCCCTTTCTACCCTCGAATGACTGTGTTCTCAGAACTGTTCCACAACCATCATGTAGGAATCATCATTCCTAGCAATACAATTGGATCAGTTGGCATCTGTTCCACAAGCAAATTTTGCAGGATAATTTTGGACAATTATCAGTATCCAAACTACTAGATGACTAGAGAAGTTTTGGATTTGGATTAGTTTGGCCTAGCATGGATTCTGTACGTTTATAAACAAAAGTCTATTGAATGACTGTCCTTTGTCTAAGCAAAAGAGTCATCTTTGTTTTTGTACAGATATTGGACACACTGGTAGTATAGCACTGTTTTCTTGGTTTTTATGTGAGAAAACAAATGCTAGAATCAATGTGGTTATAACTGCACACACTTCTTGGGCTAATATGTCCTGGTTACATACATCAATGTAATCTGGATGTCATAGTCTGGAATTTAATGTTGGTGTCAAACATCAGAAATTGTTGTAGATGGTCACTTCATGACTATGTATGTGTCAGGTACATGTGACCATCCTATACCACTGGAATTTAATTTTGGTGTCAAACATCAGAAATTGTTGTAGATGGTCACTTCATGACTATGTATGTGTCAGGTACATGTGACCATTCTATACCACTAGTACTAGAGTAAAATGCTTGAAGTCATCAAAGCAGACCTTCCTTAACTTCCTACTAATCCATCAGCAAATTTATTTGAATTCACGTTCATACTTTCTTTTTTTGGTCTTGTCACAAAAGAAGAGGCACCTAACTTTCTTCCCACCAAAAAGGCAACCAAACCACTGGTGTTCCAGATGCTTTCACCCTCCCAAAGCATCTTACCCACTCAATTACTCCTTTCTCTCCTTTATCTTCAATCTCCCTCCCTAGAGCAGAATGTTACTCAATGTGTGGTCTTTGAATCAGCAACATTAACATAATCTGGGAGTTTCTTAAAAAGGCAAATTCATAGGCCCCACGCTAGACATATATGTTTTAACAAATTCTCAGGTAATTTTGTCACTCAAGTATGAGAAGCCCTAGAATTGGGTGCAGTGGCTCTTAGACTTATTTACACATTGGAATTACCTGGGAGCTTAAGAAGCTATTGATGCTTTGAACCTATCCCCAGCGATTTATTTCATTCATCTAAGATACAGCCTGGGTACTGGATTTTTTTTTAAATAAATTTTTCTTAAGAGCAATTTTAAGAACATTTTTATTATTATAGAAATTCCCCATCTGCCTTCTGCCCCCACATACACACAGGAATTTTTAAAAGATCTCCAGGTGATTCTTATGTGCAGTCACATTTAAGAACTACTCTCAAAAATATTTTTCTTATCAGTATTTAAATAGCATTTTCTTATTTTCCTCAAATTCCCCTCAATCACGTATCTATCTCTAAAATTTTTGTTTTTCTTTCATATATAAACTTAAATTTTCTCTTTCTCCACTTCCTCACCTCCTATTTAGCACAGAGTTCACTGTGATTTCTCCTGCATTTCCACCATTCTCTTATTTTAGATACTTTTAGATCTTACCTTACTTGACTGCTCTGGGCATTTGGTGCTGACCCCTGAACTCTTCCCTTTCATTGGTTTCCAGATAACTCAATCTCTGAGTTGATTCCCTGCTTCTCACTTATTCTCAGTCTCTTAGCCTTCCTCCTGTGTCTATCCCTTAGATGCTGATGTTCCTCAAGTTTACATCTCAGGCTCTCTTCTGGACTATCTAGTTGCCACATAGCAAGAAAACTGGGACATGTGGAGAATTTTTTTTAAATTAACTTTTAATGTATTAATGAATAGCATGTGAATAGTCTAAAAAGCCAAACACAGATAAAGACTTAGAGGTTTCTGGCTACTCTGCATTTTCCACAAAAAAAATAAAATAACTTGCTGGGATTTTTGTTTGGAAATTCATTGAATCCATAGATCAATTTGAGGAGAAATGATACTTTAATAATATTAAGACATCCAATCTGAGAACATGGTATATCTCTCTTTTATGTAGGTCTTTATTTCTGTTATGTAGGTTTTATACTTAACAGAATAGAGATTTTACACATTTTTCATTACCTTGTTTTACTAGATATTTGACTTTTGGTGATATTTGTTTTGGTGCTGTTGTACATGGCATCTTTTAAATTACATTTCCTAATTTTTGTCTCTAGCACATGGAAATACAAATCATTTTGTGCATATTGATTTGTATACTATCACCTTGCTAAATTTACTTATTAGTTCTAATAATTTCTTTGTAGAGTTTTTTTAGTTTTTTGTACACATAATTGTCATTGGTCAATAAAAATAATTATACTTTACAGTTCCCAATCTTTATGGATTTGCTTTTTTTTCTTGCTTTTTTGAATTGGATAGGGCCTCCAATATTATGGTGAATAAAAGTATTGGCAGTAGACATTTTTGCTTTGTTCCCAACTTTCTTTAAGGGAAAATTTTTTGATATTTCATTCATATGTAGTCAGCTCTAGGTTTTTGGCAACTACTCTTAGCCAGATTGAAAAAGTTTAACTCTATTTTCTAGATTGCTGAGATTTTTACCAACTTAAATTTAATTTTATGACTTTTATGCATCTGGTGATAAGGTAATATGATTTTTCTCCCTATTCTGATGGGCTAGTGAACCACATTGATTGATTTGGGATTATATCAATCATAATGTTTTGTTTGTTTTTGCTCAGCTATATTAGTTGATATTCTGTTAAAGATATTTACTGTGCTCATGAGTGATTTTAGACTGTAATTTTCTCTTCTTGTAATATTCCTGTTATGGAATCAGGATCAAAATCAGCAGTGGTCTGCTGATAGATGTGCAATCATTGGCTTTCCAGGAGAATAAAAGGCCTTAGTTTATAGTGATTGGTGATTACCTTGGTGAACATATTCCCGTGACAGCTGATTTCAGTCTATCAATGTGATGCCACTGAATGCAGAGTTGAGAAGAGATGCTCTCCATTGGCTCTTCTCAGCCTGTACAAGCTGGGTCCAGCATACCACTGGTATGACCTAAAAAAAAATAAGTTGGGAATTGTTCTATCATGCTTTATACTCTGAAGTAATTGCTGTAATATTGGCATTTCTATGTCTGCTTTAAATCTTTGTTAGCAGTCACAAGGTTTTGAGTAATTAGTTTGGCCTTATGACTCCTGAAATATATATATTTTTTTCTTTTTCTTAATGTAAAAAAAACTGCTCATTTCAACAAAGAGCATATCCTCAGTTGCACTGTGTCTTTCAAGAGAAGCTCATAGTTAGTATGTAAATGCCATATTGCCATATTCCAGGAAAAAGAAAATCAAATGAAGAAAAAGGTAAAAAGAATCTTTATGATCCCACTACTGGACAAGTACATCTGTAGCTGGCTAAATAATTAGCAGTGGATTTTGTCAAATGCTATTAGAGAAAGATTTATGTTAATCACTTTGTCTTATGCTAGGACACTAGTTTAATGAGAGGTTCACTTTCTTTTTAGCTAAAACATTAGCTAAATCACACTGGGAAAATAAAACCCGGAGGTGGAAACTAATTGGAAACATTGCTTTTAGGTAATGAAGCACTTATGTATCCATTTGGGGGATTCATTAAGTTTTAGTTTGGGGAAGTTTTCCCTCACCTGAAAAATGCATAATTACAATTGAGATATACAGTTGCCAAAATATGGCTACAAGGGAAATTTGGCATTTAATTTCTTCAAACATTCCAACAAAATTTGGCTAAATTTTAGGGGTCCAAAAATAAAAAAGATGAATAAGACTGTATTCCACTACTTAAGTAGCCTAGTAAGGGACAAACACATTTAAACCAATAACAACTCTAACAGGTGCCAATAACAACTCTGAAAGGTGATAAGGGAAATTAATGAGATTTACATAAAGTGCTATAGAAACACAATGAGAGAACCATACATTCTTTCTAGGTGGGAGACAAAGTCTATCCAGAGTTATTGTCTGTCTGTCTATCTCTCTCTCTTTCTCTCCCCCACCACCCCCATCCACAGATTTAGTATTTACTAGTTTAAAGAAAGGTCAAAGTATCCCTTCAGTAAATCAGAGGAAGTGACTTTTGTTCCAAGTCCTATTGTTTGCTAAGAAGTTTGCTTAAGCCAAATGAAGGGGCATTCATTCCCAGCAGGATATCTTCCTTTGGAGAACTCCAGAAGCATCACCATTGGTGAAGAGCACTTCAGCAACAAGTGAGCATAACACATTCAGGATCAATGAGTACCATTCTCATAGGAAAGAGATAACTGATATCTGAGAGGTGAAGCTGTTTTACTAATGATGAGAAGAAATCAGTCTCAAAATTGTCCAAAATGATCTTGCTTATTGATTAGGATTGGTTTTATTGTATCTTTAAACATGAAGAGTGTTAAAAGTTGAGATATTTTCTGGGAGCAGGACCAGCTACATAATTTTCTGGGCCCAGTGCAAACTAAAAATGCAGTGTCACTTATTCAAATACCAATAAAATTTCAAGATGGCAACAGCAGTACATTAAACCAAGCATGGGGCCCTTTCTTACTGTATAGTTCCCAGGCCCATGAAGCCAGTCCTGACCAGAGGGCAGTATCACTTTACACATTGGAGCAAGCTAAATCTTTGTCATTTGGTCTAGAATGGGAAACCATAAGCTTTGAAATGTAGCAAATGCACATCTGAATACCACTTCCATCACGTGTTACCTACTGGATGTTGGATAAGTTATGAAATTTCCCATGTTCCTCACTAAAATGTGGCCATACAAATTAAAACTTCCATTGCAAGTTCCAATAATATACATGAATACATATGTGCATTTTCATCTAGTGAGTTTAAAAGTATTATAAAAAAGAGTTTGTGCAGGGATGCCTGGGTGTCTCAGTCAGTTGAGCGTCTGCCTTCGGCTCAGGTCATGATCCCAGGGTCCTGGGATCGAGTCCCACATCGGGCTCCTTGCTCGGTCTGGAGCCTGCTTCTCCCTCTGCCTGACACTCCCCCTGCTTGTACTGTCACTCTCTCCCTCTCTCTAGCAAATAAACAAATAAAATCTTAAAAAAAAAAAAAAGGAGTTTGTGCAAATTAGTGGCTTTACAATATTGTTGTTAGTTATACAAAAATAATTATGTTAAATTAAAACAATCCATTCTTTTTTTTAAATTTCTTTGTCCATTGATGACATCCTTCATTGCTAAATCACAAGTTAGATCATTAGAAAAATAATTTTAAGATCAGGTTTTTAAATATTTAAATGAAAGAGAGTTAGGATTAAGAACATAATAGCATGTGAATTATATATATTCTGCATATTACATTCTTTATTATAACATTTCACCATTATTTTGGGTATTCATAGGTAGATTCATTCAATTTACATTGCATTCAATAATTTAAAAAATCATTTACTAAAATAGTATGGTACTGTCATAAAAACAGATGCATAAATCAATGGGACAGAATATAGAGCCAAGAAATGAACCCCCACAAATAAGGTCAATTAATTTATGACAAAGGAACCAAGAATAAAAATGGACAGTTTCTGTAATAAATGATTCTGGGAAAACTGGAGTTACATAAAAAAGAATAAAACTGGACCACTATCTTACACCATATACAAAAATTAACTAAAGACAGATTAATGATTGAATGTAAGACCTGAAACTGTAAAACTCCTAGAAGAAAACATTAGTGGTAAGCTCTTTGACATTGGTCTTGGTGATTTTTTGGATTTGACACCAAAAGAAAACAAACAAACAAACAAACACAGGTGGAACTATCAAACTACAGAGCTTCTGCACAGCAAAGGAAACCATCAACAAAATGAAAAGATAATCTACTGAATGGGAGAAAATATTTGAAAATTGTATATCTGATAAGAAATTAGATAAAAAGGGGCAATTAGCCCAATGGCAAGCAGAAAGAAGAGGATGAAAAGACAAGGACAAGGAGAAAGTATTTGCAAACCACATATTCAACAAAGAACTATAGAATATAAAAAGAAGTCTCAAAACTAAACAGTAAAAAAAGAATACAATTAGAAAATGATAAAAGACATGAACAGATACTTCACTGAAGATATACAGATGGCAAGTAAACTTATGAAAAGACAGATGTTCAACATCATTAGCCATTAGGAAATGCAAATTAAAACTACCATGAGATATTACTATATACCTAACAGAATGGCCAAAATAAAAATGGTTACCACATGAAATGTTGCCAAAGATCCAGAGAAAATTATCACTGATACATTTACATGGTATGTAAAATGAAATGATATAGCCATTCTGGAAAAACTTGGCAGTTTCTCAGAACAAAACATGCAACTACCACAGCATCTCAGGCATTTATCACAAAGAAACAGAAATGTATATTCACACAAAAGTCATAGAATCTTTATTCATAACAGCCAAAAACAGCCAGATGTCCTTCAATAGATGAATAGTTGGGGCACCTGGGCGGCTCAGTCGGTTAATTTATGTCTCCCTTCGGCTCAGGTCATGATCCCAGGGTCCTGGGGTCGAGTCCCGCATCAGGCTCCTTGCTCTGTGCTTCTCCCTCTCCGTGTGCTCTCTCTCTCATAGGCGTGTGCTCATGTTCTCAAATAAATAAATAAAATCTTTAAGGAAAATAAAGATTTTAAAAAAATAGATGATAGCTAAGAGCAAACTGTGTAGTATATGCACAACATGTAACTCAGCAATAAAAAGAACAAACTAGGGATACATGTGCTTTTGATGGATTTCCAGGGAATTGCATTGAGTAAAAAAAGCCAATCCCCAAAGGTCACATTCTGCATGATTCCATTTATACAACACTTTTCAAATAACGAAGTTTTAGAAATGGAGGTTAGATTCCTGGTTTCTAGTGTTTATGAGGGGGAAAAATATATGAGGCAACTGGAGGGAGGTGGGCATGGTTATATAGGGGCAATATGAGGGATACTTGTGATAGTGGTATGTTCAGTATCAAGACTGTTACTGGATATACAAACCTACAGTGGTGGTAAAATTATATACAACTAAATCCTCCCCCCCACAACAAACACACACACACACACGAGTGTAAGTAAAGCTGGAGAAATCTAAGATCAAGCGTATCAATGTCAATATGCTGGATGTGGTATTATACTACTTTTACAAAATGACTAATAGGGGGACTGGGTGAAATGTTCAAGGATTTCTCTAAATTATTTTTTTTTACAACTGCATATGAATCTACTATTATCTCAATAAAATTCATTTAAATATGATTCGTGTAAATATTTCTCCTAGAGACTACTCACAAGAACTTTGAGGTCAGATTAGGCATCAGATTGCTGCTAGAGAAATACTATATAAAAAGTCTCCCAGCCCAATGCTACCTCCTAGCCACATTCAGTAACGCATCTAAACTATACAACAATCTTATGAAAAACCATAGCACCATTCTTAGATGCAAAGAATTGAGATTCAGAAATATTATATAGCTTTCCCAATGTTGCACAGTGATAGAGTTGAAATCTGAACCTGGAACCATCTAAACACAAAGTCTAAGTTATCAAACTTCACAATACTGCATCCTTACACAAGCAGCATTAACATCACTCTGGATTTCATAGGGACAGACATTGTTTACTACTCTCATGTTATTTTCTTAATTTTAATTTTAGTAGAGGAAGACTATGGGAAAAATGTGTACCTTATATTTAAATGCTTCAAATCCAGTTAATGTTTCTTAAATAAAGGGATCACTAGGGGGTGGTAATTCTCTTAATTTAACATTTGCCCCAAATTATGATAATTAGACCTATTAGTCAAGATGCGTCAGATTCCCAAAAGGTTTCAGTGCATTGAAGTTGTCTACAAAGGGCTGCAATTCTAACCAGCATGGACTGTTTATCACAGCAAAAATCTAGTGGTTTTGAGAAGTATGGACATTGTAGGGAGTGCTAATCTCCTGTGATATGATAACTTTTACTATGAATTGGTACAGACCAAACTGAAGTCAAAATGAGCTCTTTTCCAATGTTTTTTTGAAGAGACACTGACA